ATTCTTATTTGTTTACTTCTTCAACTAATTACCATTAAAAACTAATTATCACAATTAAGAAAAACTAGATCAATGATTTGAGAGGAAAAAAAAGTTTATCAAGTTGATTGTGATTATTAAATCATAACAATTAACAACAATTAATCATAATCATTTGTCCTTCATTGAAAGACGTTAATTTTTTGTTCTGATTGAGAAAAAAAAATTTCATTTCTATTCAATTCCAAGTATTGTAAACACTTAAATGATTAACTAATTATCAATTAATTGTTGAAGTACCTTGAAATGATTAAGAAATAAAATTAGAACATAAATTGTTGATCAATTAATTGTTATAATAATCAGTGTGCTTATATTAATAATGAAAATGTGACAATCTTAAGATAAATCAATTGTTCCCAATTTCAATGATAACAATTTTCTTCATATTAATTATGATAACAATTAGATGACAATTTAACAAGGATAAGTTTAATTTAATCTAATTGTTCCCATCATCTTTCCGGTAGTGATGATTATTTCAATAATTTTCATTGTTATGATTAAGTTTAATTGTTTATCCAAGGTTTTCATATAACAACAACAACAATTTGTAAATTGTTAAAACCAAACCTTAATAACTTGTTAAACATTAAAGTTAATCATTAACAAATCAAATCAAATGATATCACAATTTAATATTGTAATTTTCTTGATAACCTTGATTGTAGTTGCTTTTTATTGATCACAATTAAGATTAAATAATGTAATATAAATATTAACACTGGATGAAGATATTGTAACAAATTAGACAAACAATTGAAAATCAAGAGAAAGTGATTAACTAAATCAACTTCAAGGATAAGAATCTAATTGTTAATGATGATTAGTAGTTGATTGATTTTTTTTTCTAGTTAATTTCTAAGTTGATTTAAATGTCTAATATTCATTTAAGATTCTGGAATTAGTTTATCAAAAGTGCAATCGATAACTTCAATTTTGAGATGATCAAGTTAATTGTTGGTGTATCACCTTGATGAGATTTTTGGATTTCTCTTGGTGTCTAATGTTAATTGTTGAGATGATTAATAAATCAATTGATGTTGCCAAAAATAATGAGGACACAACAATTTAAATAACCTTAACCATTTTTACCCAGTTTTCTGTGGTAAATTTAAATTAGATTTTTGTTTGAAAACCTTGAACTTAAATGTTAATAAAGAAATTAGTTAATTGTTTCGCCTCATTTAAATAATTGCTTTTCTAATTTCAAGAGGAATTAATTTTCTCTGGGTTAATATTTGTTAACTGTTATTTCTGGTTACACCTCAATAGATAATCAATTGGTTTAATCATCACTTTGATTACAATTAAATCGGATCTATGGTTAAGTTAAATGGTGGTGCTGTTTGGTTCACCACTTCATTGATAATTAAATGTTATTGATAATTAATTGTGATCAAATTAACTTATAGTCTTCTTATAGTGATACATTTGTTTCCTATCAGAATTACCTGGTTATCCTGTTATGATTGTTAATTGTTGATATAATTGTAAAACCGATTGTCTGTCAATTTAGTGATGAGAAAAAAAATAAATAAATAGAGATTCAATGATCACTAATTAGCACAATTAACAATTAATTGTGAAGGTAATTGTAACCATAGAGGTGAAAATTGAATGTGGTGTTGTTTTTGTTGTTGCTACTCAAAAGTAAACTTGATAATTTGATGTAATCATTTTTTTTTTACCAATTTCTTGCTATCTGCTTGGTAATTGTGATTAGCTTGTTGTTAAATTGATGATTTACTTTGATTGTTCAGTTTAATTGATGAAGTGCGGAAAAAAATGATTAAACACTTACTCTGTTCATAACCTCTTTTAGCTTGTCAGGCCTCGGAACGGGTGAGGAGACTCGAGGTGGTTGTTGCCAAGTTGGATCTCGAACATGTCGAAGGTAAGATCCAATCGGATAGTCGTGAATTGGCTTTGGTTTGGGTGTGACCACGGGGAAAGTCCGATGAGGCTGAAATGGAAAAGAATAGAAGAAAATTTATAAATAAATAAATCAAAAGAGTTTAAGGTTAAGAGGTTATTGGAATATGTAAATAAAGAAAAACATCTTGGCTTGTGGAGAGAATTTTTTTTTTCTCTTTTGTATCCAATTGATTTTCTTTCTCTCTGGTAAATAGAAAGATTTAGATTCTTACTACTGATTAGAAGTTATTCTATTTTGAATAATAGATCCTTGGATACTTTCAACAACAGAATCAGAATTATAATCAGTAAATTGTTGTCAATTTGCCAAAAAAAGAAAAACAATTTCTTAAGAAAATGGAGAAACTGAAAATCAAGAGTTTCCAAAATTCTAAGTAATTTTCTAACGATTTCTAACCATTCACCTTGACAAATGTTCACCAAGAGGACACTCTCAATGAATTAAAGTTCATATAATCACAATTAGAAGAAAAAATCAACAAAAAACTTAATCACAATTAAAATTTGAATGGAAACAAAAATCACTAATTAAGAAGCGAAAGAAAACACACTACACGTGCTGCCATCTATTGGAAGAGAATTAAACTAAAATCGAACTTAAATTTCGTTGAAATTTTAATGTATCGAAAAGCGGAAAGTAAATGTTGCAATTATGGAATATTATTAGTTGGGAATGTTTTTCTTTTCGATAAATTATAATTTTTCTCGATAATTACCTGATTAACTACAGCCAATCGTTCTCGTTGCTTCTCCTGTTGGTATAAAACTTTCTCTTGTTCACTTTGAGTGGGTCCATTTAGGTGGGTATCGAAGTGTGGAATCACTCCCACCGAGGGAAGAATAGGTCGATATGTCGGGGTAGCGGAAGTGGGAGTGGGAGAGGTTGATGATGAAAATGATGGTGTAGTTAATGAAGATGAAGATGGATGATAAATAGATGAAGATGCGGGAGGCTGCCAAGTTGACATTGAGACGAGTTATAAAGGTGATTAGATTGAGATTAAACTAATATTTCCTTATCCAAATTGATGAAAGAAAAAGAGAAAAATAAAAAATAAAAACAAATTAACGATCAATTAAACCAATAAAAGGACAAGATGATAAAAGGAAATTAAATGATAATAATCAGAGAAGAAGAAGAAGATTAAATATAAAAACCTACCTGAGATTATAAATCGTAACAATTAGAATGATGAACGTTGATGATATGGAAAAAGGAAAAGTCGAAATGCTAATCAACTAATTCGGTTGTTGATCACCTCGGATGTAAATTGTGAGAATGATTAAAGATTTCAAGCTAAATGATTTCAAGGTAATTCAAACTACTTGTTGCTCCTGATCATCATCATGAGCATCCTAAGGATCATGTTCAGTTACCATGCACTAAATTTTCAGATTAGTTCAGGATTTTTGAAGGAACCATCCAAATCTTCATGTTGAACTGAATTTGAATTTGATTTCTAAATTTATCTTGGTACTAATATCATCGTCATCGTAATCATAATCATCTTCAGGGTTGGCATCATCATCATCATCATCATCATCATCTTCATCTTCATCATCTCAATCCTAATCCATAAACTCAATGTTTAAACTAAATTCTTGGTTTTTTTTTCTCGTCTCGATTCAATTCATATAACTTTCTTTGAGTAACTAAAGGGTAACGGTAAATTGTTACAATTAAGATTTACCATTGGCTCCAAACAATTTACCTTGACTTGTGTTGGTATATTTTCAAATGAGTCTCTTCAAGTGTCAACAATTAGTAAATTGTGACTAACGATAAATTTTAATTCTTATAAAAATAAAACTATTCCCTAAACGAAATTGTTTACTTGATTTGATTGTTAATTACTAGCGTTTTCTTGGTTTCCAATGATTAACAACTTTTCAAATGATTAATTGTGACAATTTAATTGAATTGTTGTTCAATTTATCTGCAAATATGTTTAATCAACATTTTCATCAACAATAAATAACAATCTTATTGTTTAATAAGCAAATTGATTGTTAAAATAACTGTTAATCTACTGATTCTCAGGGTAATTCAATCATCTTTGAGCTCTTAATTGTGATTAACACTAAAGTCAACAATTCAACAAGATAACAATTAGTCTTAACAATCAGGTTAATTGATATAAATATTAATCAATGTTGTCTATGTTAAATTGTCATCCGATTGATTGTTTTTGCCAAAAAACTGTCAACTTGAACTCAATTCAAATTCAATTGGAAAACTGGAAACTTAATCACAATTTAAACTTAATTAAAGTGTATTCATAGTTGATAATTAATACAATCGGTCAAAAAGTGAAAATTTTCACTGGACAATTAATATGTAATCGTTATTGTTTGAAAGTTGAAAGTTGTTCAACTGATTGATTATCCAAGACAAGACCTTTATTATTAGTAAATTGTTATAACAATTAACTTTGATTCTTAAAAGTCAATATCATTGCCAAAAGATTAACAATTTGAATGTGAAGAAGACAAGTATTAGGGATGATTGTTTTATCGCAATCAACGGCAACAATTAACATTGAATTTTAAACAAAACGCGAAAATTTTCAACAATTAACAATTAGGTGAAACAATAGAGCCAAAGATGAAGAAGAAAACTTTTCAAATGGCAAATCTCGAGTTCTAATGTCGAAACTTTTTCGCTTCTAATTGTTTTAATTGTTGATGATGGACAAGATTTTCTGTCAACAACAACAACACAATATAAATAAATACATTGAAAATGTTTAATTGTTAAAATGGGGAGACAATTAATTGTGTTAATCATCAATTTTAAACTTTAATCAATTATGTTAACCTTGTTTTTATTTTGAACGCAATCAACAAGGTAAAGAGTCAAGAGTAACTGTTGAAACTTTTTTACTCTTGTGATGTAGTTACGTTGATTGTTGTAAGATAATCATGAATGATGATGATTAGAAAAAGTAAGAGAGAGAGAGAGAGAGATAGTGAGTAAGAGGAAGATGGAAGATAGAAAGAGAAAGTGAAAGAGAATTGAGAAAGAAAGTAAAATGAAGGAGGAGAGAAAGAGAAAAAAAATTTCAGGTAACTTTTACCTGGAATAAACTTGTTGCTTTTTATTTATCTTGTTATTGTGATTCGGTCAACATTAAGTTGGATTTTAATTCTTATCACAATTTACTAATTGCTACTCAATGTTAACCATGCACTGGATTTATTGGTTAATTGTTAATTCATTGTTTGTACCCTATGGATTTATGGTAATTAATTTTTTCCCCTTTTCTTCAAATTGTTTTTCCAAAATCTCATCCAAGTGATTAATCAATTTTTCCGTCTAATTGTGTTTCTTTACTTAATTGTTGTTTAATTGTATGTATTTCCATTGATTAGGTTAATTGTCAATCATTATCTTCTTCAGTAAGTGATCAAACTAATAATTCAAAGTTAATTGTTTCATCGTCATCATCGTCCAAATGTCAACCAATTTGTTTGGAATCAACAATTAATCAAGGAAAAACTGATTCCAACAATAAATCGGATAATATTAAGGAATCAATCACGACAATTAAGGATAAACCAATTGTAAGTTGTTAATTTAATTAACTTTTTATTAGGTATATTTCATTGGGTTTGCAAAACTTAATTGGTTAATTAACCATTGGTTGTTTGTAGCAATTAACTTTGGAGGGAAAAAAAGTTTGATTAACTTTTTTTTTGTACTTCTCGAGTCCAGTTTACTAACAATTAACTTTAATCATTTGAAAGCTTAATCATTGTTAACAATTTTTGAGAAAATCTATCATTTAGTTGATTAATACAACAGTTAACATTGTTGTTAACTTTTTTCACAATCAACTGATTATTATCTAGCTAGAAATCAACAATTAATAAAGTAATCACACACCACCCACCTTTTAATTAACTTTTAATCAACAACAATCAACGATCAACAAACTTTATATATTAATATTAACAACTGAATTAGAAAGAAGTAAATTTTGTGATTAAATATTTTACTGATAATTAACTAATTTCATCTTTAAATATCTCATATACACTTAATTTAAATTGTCCAGCAATTAACAATCATAAATAATGTAAATAAAAGTTATTAATTAGATGTGTATATTTAGTTACAATTTAGATTGATTAACAATCAACGACGGGAAAATATTGATTTGTTTTAATTGTCTGAAAATATTACAGAATCGGGCAAAAATTTAACTCTAATGATAACAATTTAGTTAATTGTTAACCACCGGAAGGCAGGATTACCGGTTAATTGGTGTCAATTGAAAGTGACAGAAATTGCCTTAATCTAAATTAACCAGATATTAAATTGCCCGTAGGTTAATTGTTACAATAATAATCATGTTAAATAACCAATATTGTTTATCAATCCATCAATTATACTTCAAATCAAAGTGAAAGTTAATCAACAACAATTAACGAAAGTATAAAAAAAAAACTTATTCAAAGTGACATTACAAAGTTGATTAACTTTTTAATTGTTGCGAATTGATTTAAATATATTTACATTTAATCATCACAATTAAATGTAAAAGTTGTCAAGGTGACCAATGATTGTCTATTTTGATTATTGATCTAAAAAGTGATGATTAAAATAAAAGATAAATCATCATTTAGCCTGAGGCAATTTATTCAGTTGATCAATTGAATTACTTGTTAATTGGTAACAATTTAAGATCTAATCAAGATGGTAAATTGTTGAGTATCACATTGAAAATTAACTTAATGTAAAATGATATTCATTTAACAATATTTACTGACCATTAGTTAATTGTTGATACGCTCATTAGTTAATTGTGCTGATTTCCTTAATCATTTCAAGTTTAGACTAGTTTTAATTTTAATTGGTTAGATTTTTGATTAGTTGGGAAATAAAAAATCATTTTTAATTGTTGGGAATCATAAGCTCATCGATCATAATTTATATTAATTAATAACAAAAACTTAATCCATTTGCGGGTCAATTGAATTAACCGTTAATCAACTAATTAATTAAGCTTAGATGTTTTTTTGTTAAATTTCTCACAATTAGCAAGACAAAATTGACAATTTATTAAATGTCAACCATAATTTACAATGACAATCTATCCCCAACAATTAGGTTAATCAGTAGACTTAAATTTTCTGTGTCAACTAACCTCGTTTGTGATTTATAAATTGTCACCCGTTGATTGTTTTGCCAAAAAAGTGTCAACTTGAACTCAATCTGAATCCAATCTTGATTAAAATTTATGCTTAATCACATTGGATTAAGTTAATCAAGTTAATTTCTGTCATATGTAAAAAAAAGAGTGAAATTAATATTCAATCAAGTGACAATCAAATTGAAATTGTCACAATTATCTTGATTACTTTTCACCAATAAACTTTAATCAACTGATGGATTAACTGTAATTGTATTCAATTGGTTGTTTTCATCATTTTAAATGATTAATCAAAATTTAGTTATTGTAATTAAAGCTTGTTTCAGCTAATCACAATTTATAATCATCAACAATTTAAGTTAACTGTTTGATTCACAATCAACAATTGCTTTCAAAGTTTACTGATTGTCAGCTGATTAATTGATTGGGGTTAATCATATTTATAATGAGTTGACAATTTGTTGTTGCAACAAAATTGTGGTTAATTGTTGGTTTAATTGTTCAATTTTAAAAATGATGATCAAAATCATTGGCTATGTTTTTAAAATGATTAACTGATACCAATCTAAATTGTCGTTAATTGTGATCAGTAATAGATGGATTGAAAAAACAATTACAATTAACCTTTTAAATTGCTTTTCCATTGATTAGATCAGTTTTTAAATTATGACAATTAAAAGTTTATTAACTTTCATCTAAATTGTTTACAATTAAAACACTAACCGGAACTTGATCATTATTACAAATTTTAAATCATAGTTGATTCATTGATTGTGATCAATTGTATAATAGTATCAACAATTAAACAAAATCAAGTTCATTAATACAATTTAATGGTCAGTTGATTTGAAACAATTAACTAACAATCAACAACTCATCTCAACTTTCATGATTAAAGTTTTTAATTGTCCAAAGATTACAATACTTGAGGTTAATAGTCAAGTTGATTAACCTTTCCGATAATTAATTAATCAATGAAGATTAACCCAATCTATTATTTTAAAATCTGATGCTTTTAATTGTCAATTAATCATGATAAATATAAAATGAGAAAGTAAAATTAATCAACAGAATCATTGATTTAGTAATTGCAATCATTATCCACAATTATTAACACCAGTATAACCTTAATCATTTCCCAATGGTAAATAAACAATTAACAGTTAATTATTTAATAAATTACGAAAACCTTGATTAGTTAATTGTTGCTAATCAGTTAAACGTGGTTAGAAACACCTTAAAAAACAAATGAGCGTTTATATTGATTGATTAAAACGCCAAATCAATGTTATTGAATAAGATTTACACTAATCATTGTCTTAATTAATTGTAATTGTTTGTTTGTTGTATATCAATACACATAAATATCATATTTAGTTGTTGTTAAATTGTTACTCTTGATGATTAAACTGATGACCATGATTCATCATCTGGACAATTCAAGGTAATTGATTGTTATTTACTTTGATTAACAACAATCAATAAGGTTCCTATTGCGTGATTATGATTAAAAACCCATTTAAATCAGAGTAAAACTATTGAAGGTAACGAACACAATTTAATTTAATTTTTTCTTTTTCTTTCTTATCAACAAAACTAAATTAACTAAATCAAAATTTGATAACAGTTAGTTAGTTAGTTAGTAAGACAGAGTTTGCTGATAGAATCACAATTAAGTGTAAATTAAGTACCAAATTTGAATTATAATTAAAAACTTTAAATGACAATTCCAATGACAATTTAGTAACAGTAACTAGGAAACTGAAAAGCTTCAAATCAATGAAACATTGATTAAAATCAAAGTGTTTAATTGTTGCAATCATATAATAACGATAATCTCAGTTAATCAAATATGAAACAACAATCAAATTTTTCAATCAAAATCACGAGCTTTTCATTTTTCATTAATCAACAATTAATTAACCAGATAATCAGGGTATTTTTTTTTTAAATCACTGGATTAATTGATCTGTAGTTTAAGACAAAATAATCAACAATAATAATCAAAAGTTAATCACAATTAACAAATGAAAAACAAAAACAAACCAAGTAAATTAAATCGCGTTGGTTGATAAATCATAATGATGATGATGATTTACTAATCATTTGATTTGAATTAGTTGATCGTGTGTAATGATTAAAATGATCAGGAAAACAACGGAAACTGTTAAATTGTATGAATTACAATTAACTCTTAACGTTGATTAACATGATTAACTTGATTTCCTATTGAATATTTTTAGGTGCAGTTAATTATGATGAGTGGGTGATTAAATGTCTCTCTCTCTCTCAATATCTTAATACTAACAATTAAAATCTAATTGTAATTAATTCACAATTTACAAAACCCAATGAATATTAATATTTATTTTTTTCTTAATAATGAATTTTGTTTTTAATTGTGGACACAAACAATCAAAACTAATTGTTGTGTATTAAGGATAAACCAGAAATATAAGTTTAATCTGTTTTAATTGTGATTAACTAACAATTTAGCATCATTTATATGATTAAGTCCCTTTCAACAATTTACTAATCATAAATTTTTAAATTGTGTTTAGTTGTAAACTAAATTAAAAATTAAAATTAAATATCATGAGGGTAAATACAATTTAACTTTTTGGTCTGACCAATAACAATTAACTAAACAAAAAGTTACAATTGTAACTTGTAAATTGAATTACTTTTAGTTTAAAAATTTGATTAATATAATTTGTTTGATTGTGTGTAGTTAATTTAGTTTAATGATTTAACTTTTTAATTAACTGTGCTCTTGTTAATTTAGTTTGGTTGATATTATATAGTATTTGCTCATTGTTGATGATTAATTGTAATAATCATCTTGTTGTTAATTGTTTATTAAGGTCAATGTTTAATTATCATATTTTCATTGATGATTAACTAAGTAAATCAAGTTAATCAAGTGATTAAGTAATCGCCAGTCTAATTGTTACAATTGTTTTTATATTATAACCATTGGGATTCATGTTGATTGTCAAGGAAATTGTTGTTTAAACAACAAATCAAATCTAATTGTGATTAAACATTCAAACAGTTGATTGAAAGTTAATCATCATAATTGTTAACTGCTGATTTTACTTTTCTCAACTTTTTGTTTAATAATTATCACTCACGATTAAGTTTTACAATTAAGGATATACAATTGTTAATTGTTATCATTTCATTGTTAAATTGTTACCCGTTTATCATTAACCAGTTGTTAATGTTGCTATTTGTTAATCAAATCCCGTAATTGTGATTAATTAAACTAATAGTTGACTAACCATTAATAGTTAAAGGTCAACTCTATTATTATCAATTGTTATTAATTTAGTTGCTTCTTAATTGTGATTAATATTGACCTCAAGCTTTCTGGTGTTGATTGTAAAATTTAATTTCAACTTAACAATTTAATTTACTAACTCACAATTTAATTGTTTCAAGTATAGTTGATTAAATTGTAGTAATGAAAAAAAAGTGAAACTCGATTAAGTCAAATTATCACCTTAATCATTATCTTCATCATCATAATCAACTTAATCATCAACAATTTGATTAGCAATTATAACAACACCCTGGATTGTTTATCTGAAACAATTAAATTTGAAGGTTAATTTGAAATGATCAAGACTGATCATAATTAGTCAACAAAATAATCAATTGATTACAATTGAAATCGTGATTAAACTAAGTAACAATTAAAGGTTGATATTAATTATAATAGTGACAGGTAATTGATTAGAGTTAATAAAAATCAATCTTAATATTCATAAATCAACAATTAAAAAACAATTTACCAAAAACATAAAGTTCAACTTACTGGTTGTAATTAACAAAACAAAACAAAATCAACATTAATTAACAACTACTATTTATGAAACAATTAACTAATAATCATCTTATTAACCTTTTAATGCCTCAAGTTAATTGTTGGTTATTGATTTTTTCATTTCTCTCATTTAATCAAACAATTAAGTTCCTTAATCAGTTAAACTAAATCAAATCAATATGAAATGAAAGTTATTGATAAAGTTAATTAATAGTTTAATCATTTAACGGAAGAGAGTTGAAAAGTTAAATGGTTAATGATTAAAAAGTTAACGACAATTAACCGATTACACCAACAACCACACCTTCAATCAAAAGTATTAATTGTTGATTGTTGATTGTTCCTTATTAGTTATATTATAAATATCGTTATTATTAATATTAAATAGCGATAACATGTTAAAAAGGAGTAAATTAAGTGGACAACAATCAACAACAATTAGTTAAATTGTATTTGATTTGTCATTTACTAATCATAATCCTCGTCCTTATTAATCCTGTAACAATTGAGGTAGCAAACAATTCAGTTAATCACCAAGTCCCCACACAATTAATTGATTGATTACTTGAAATATCAAGTTGGACAATCAAATGTACAAAACTTTTGTGATAATAGTGTGATAATTTGTTAATCATTAGCACGGAATCAAATCACCAATTTACATTAAATTGGTGATAATCATCATTTGTAATTACTGGCAATTAATTAACATCAACAATTGTCAACATTGTTTTTTGATTGACCTTAACTATTTGATTATCGATGGTCAACAAATTAATGATAAAATCACAGTAATAAAAATGATTATTTGTTGATTGTTGACTGACATCATTTGATTAATCACCGATTGAAAATTCAATCATCACCATATGATCAACTGATTAACCAGATTAATTTTCTTTCTTCTCTTTTGTTAAAGGAAAAGTTAATTGTTGTTGGTGATAAAGTTGACGGTTTACCGGAACCGATTGTCCAAGGAAACGGAAATGGTCCAGAAGAAAAGGTTCAAATTGGTAAGTCGAAAAGTGAGTCGAATGTCCAATCAGATTCCACTTCGACTTCGACCGATGCAAATGGTCAAATTCCTTGGAATTCAAGTCGACGATCTAAAGCTCCAATTCGTCCGCCCAAACTAAGATTTGGTTCTAAACCGATTCCGACCAAAACTCGACGAATCTCTTATGGCTCTATGGTTAAACCTCGAAGTGTCGGTAAAGATTCTGATCTGATTCCACTTTCGTATAAAAATTCATCATCACAGGTAAGCTGAATTATCCACCAATTAATCACCTTAATCGTCCAAACACAATTATTATCTAAATCGTAATGACCATTTAAAGTTAATCCAAAATTCAAACTTGACCTGAAGGCAGAGGGAAAAAAAATCAAACTTAATGATATTTTGATTATCTGACCGTTGAATTAATTTGATAATCACTGATTAAATAAGTTAAATCAAATTGAGAAATAAAAAAAATGCTATTTGATTGAATTAATGTTTACATTGTTGTTAAACGTTAATTGTAAATTATTTACATTTTAAATCTAATTGATACAAGATCAAAGAGTTACAATTAAATTTGATTATTTCATTTTTTCTTCTCGAATTGCAAGTTAGTTTTTTCCACTGAATTAAACACCAACAATTAGATGATTAAATTGAGTATAAGACGATCAAAAATTGATTATTATTAAATGTTTACTAATATTGATCAAGTTTTGTTGACCAAAACTTTCATTTAATTGCAAGTCCTTGACCTTATATATTAATAGTTGGATCATTAGTTTGTTAATTGTCAATTAAATTAGACCAAAAGTAATTGAAACCAAAAATTAAAAGATAATTAAATTAAATTGTCCGGGAAATTTTGATTACGATTAGAAAGTTGATTTTCATCAGCTACCAATTTTGATACAATATTTAACTTTGAATCAATTTAAACAAAGGTTAATTAGAACTGAATTAAAGTTTGATTATCATATCAATTTGACAGATTATTTCAAATTAAATCAACACTAATCAGTTAAATCTACAAAACATTGAATAAGAAGATTAACTTTTTGATTCATGTCAATCATTTAAGAATCATGATTATGATTACAATTATCATCATAATCATCACTTTGAGAATAGAAAACAAAAAATTGATCCAACAATTTAACTCATTTAAATTGCCTTGAGTTATTGAATAATCTAAATGGATAAAAAAACAAATCAAATCAAATTAGTTTCATTTGAATAGGAAACGAGTTGAAATTAATCAATAATTTAAACCAATTTCGTTGATTGTGATTGATCAAAAATCAGAAATGATTTTTTATTTGCAATTACAATCAATTTTTTCTTGTAATATTTCATCATAATCAAATTGATTTGTACAATCAACTGGATTAACTTACTAATTGTAACATGAAAATGATTAGTTTTTGATGAGAAAAAAGTTTAAATTGTTTTATCGTCTAGTTAATTGTAGGTTTAACGGATGAAATTAAAGTTGTTTTTTAGTGAAAATGTTATTACAATTTACTAATTGTAATAATCATCAGAACTTATTAAACATAAACCAAATCAAAAGTTTATGATCTAGATGCCGATATAATTAAATCAATGGTGATTTGTGAAAAAAAAACGAGACAACAATTAATGATATAAAAAAGTTGATCGGAAGGAATCAAATCAACCTTTTTATTATTATCAAATTGTTTCATCACAATTAGATTAGCAAGATAATCAATGAATTAACATTATGATTAATATCTTGGTAATAATAATCAAATCAAGGCATCAAGATCAGAATAATGATTAAATGGTAATAACAATTGGTTAACGGTAGTTTTGAAAATGATCAACTTGATTTCCACCCTTCTCCTGTTTAATTGTTTGGTGAGATATACAAATTGATTGTAATCAGTTGGTAAATTAATCAGGAAATTGTAATGGTCAGTTGATTTCGAGAATCATGATCAGAATCATCCATAACAATAATCTGTAACAAAGAATGAAAAAAAAGTGATTAGCTAACAAAAAGAAATCAGTTATCGTGATAAATAGTAAATAACAATTAAAGGAAAACAATTGATCAGTAGTTAATTTACAATCAAGTTAGTTGATCAATAAATTAATTCGTAACTTAATCAAGACAATTCTATACACTAATCATTATCATCATTCTGTCAACAATTAATCATTAATTTTTTTTACTTCTTCCGTTTCTTTCATTAAACTGACCTTCATAATGAATTTGCTGATTAACCTTTTCCAATGATTTAGATTTTTACTCTACTTTTAAATTGTTAACAATTAAGTTAATCACTTTCCAACACTTGTGACCACTATACTAGTTTTCTGTATGTTCAATTTATTTGATTAATCAATGGAAAGGTAGTCACAACAATCAGCATATTGAAAATGTTAATTGTTTACAATGAAACAATTTACTGATGATGAAATTAAAAATTTAGATTAACAAGAATCCAATTGTTATCACAAGTTGATTGTTGAATCCTTGGTTTCCTGATTGATTGTTTGGTTGACAATCAGATTTGGTAATAATAATTAAAAAGCCTGGTATTAAATCAAGGTGATTTAATATTAATCTGAAATTGATATCAAATTAATTGAAAATTAAAAAAAAAGCTAAACTTATTAATCTGTTAATCAATATGGTAAGAAAAGTGTATTAATCAACTTTGATGCTGATTGTTGATTGTTGGATTGATTTTTAATTAACCAATATTAATCCACTTTCAAGGATAATTCTTAACTCTTTTTTTTCGTATTAAAACATTATCAACATTTCAATTAATTAATTCACCTTTCTTGTTATTAAATTGTTAACAAAAATTTAAATCTTCAAATCTAATTATTACCAAATTAAAAAGATCTGATTTGGTGCTAATTAGGTTTTAAACTTTATTGATTTAAATTGGATAAAAGGTGAATGAATGTTTTTCATTTAAAGTATTAATTAACGTTTGATTTGATATCACAAATCAATTGGCTGATTGTTGTTGTTTAATTAATACAATTAGAATACACGATTTGTAGTAATCGAATTGAAAGTGAAGAAAGAAAGAAATTAGTTTAGAGTAATTAATTTGATTTTTCAAGTTCACATTGAGACAGAATTAAAAATTCAGAAAAATAAAGGAAAAAGGTTAATAACTAACTAATCACAGTTAATAAATTACCAATTAATTGTAAATTAGTGTTTCTAATTTACTGATAAAGGACTTGAAGAAAAAATAAATAAATTGATTGCAACGTAATTAGAAAATGTTTTTCCCTTAATTGTAAAGACAACACAACAATTAAATAAGTTTCTGATTACTGTTAATTGTTTATGATAGAAATGTTTTGATTGATAAAATCATTTTCTCACCAACAATTTAAATTAAATTAAGAAATCAGTATCTTCCAAGTTGTTTATCATTCGAAGAGGCGATTTCTTTATGGGAAAATTGTATCAATGATTAGGGAAAAAGATACAAGGGTAAATTGAATTAAATTAGTGAAAGTGTAACAATTACCAACTAAATTAACCATGAACATGTCAACAACATCGATAATTGTGATAATAATGATGTAATTGTAATCATGAGAAACAGAAAAATCAAAGGTTAGAAAAGTTAATCAATGTATATTAAAATTCATTAATTAAAAATATCAAACACACAACAATTTAGTATAAGTAAATTGTATCATTTATATAAAAATACAAAACAATTAACTTTAACCTTGCTTAATTGTTTGAGATTTTAAAGTTTTTTTTGTTAGAAGTTTAAAAATTAATTTCTTATCAAAATGATTTAATTTGTTAGCAGTAAATTGGTTAATCTAGCAAGTTAATTGTTTACTCTAATAGATTTGTTATCTGATGATATAAATATAATAATAATATGTTTACGTTAATATGAATTGGTCACTAAATTTCATTCAAGTTAACTTGGTGAACACTTAATTGTTTACCAAGTTAATAGCTTACTTTGATCATAGATTGGATTATTGTTCACAACAATTTAAGGTCAATTCGGGTGGATTAACAAAAAGTTAATAAAGTAATTATAAGTTGATCATTTACCCAAATCAAATGGACATAAGAAAAATCCAATGGTAGCATTGATGTGATAATTTGTTTCTCCATTTTCAAGGTTAATCTGGAATCCATTTTGTTTTTTATTTTCCTTTTTCTTTGTTTTCTTTTTAATTTCAATATCCTTTTTTTTGCCCTGAAATTGAGATATAATAGGAGATAATAACGATCAGAATAATTGTAATTACTATTAAGGTATAACAATGAGCATCAAGATAATCAAAGAGTAATGGGAATGTCAAATATAAATAAAATTAATATATTCAAATGAATAAAAGTAACTCATTGTTTGATTTTAAATGAAAAGGAATTAAAATTTGATCAACTTACATTGTTTACATTTAGTAGAAGAAGAAAAAAAAAATGAAAACATCATTTATTGTTGACTTTTAACGAGCAATTAAATTTTGAGAATTTCGATTATCATCAATTTCTGGTAACTATCCTTGAATCAGTCAAATGTATCATCATCATCGTCGATATTGTTTTGATTGAACAAAGACCAAGGGTATTCATTTATTAATAGTTAAGAGTTGATGGACTTAATTGTAAATCAGGAAGGCAGAATTTCAATCTTCAATTGGTTAGGTAGTTACACGATTTCCAAGGGTTTTCTATTCAAAAATTCATATACCTCCGAGCGAATGATGGTGATTGCCTGAAAAATGAATAAAGATTATAAATTAATCATTAAGAATTTATATTAAATCGATAAAATCGCAGGTATTGATGAAGTTTTATAAGTGTTAAGTAATGATTATAAAATAGATTTACTTATTAGCCTGTAATTAGAAATGTTTAAAAGTTAATTAGTAAGCAGCTTAAAGAACGAAATTGATATAATGATTTATGTATAATTCATCATCTATTAAAAGCAATTGGTAAAGTGATGATGAGTAGATGCTGTTAATTTGAGCACAAGGAGTACCTCTAATAGTTTCATCGTCATCATCTTGATGGGAAAGGTGTATTAACGATAGAAATCAACAGTTTTTTTCTTCCTCTTTTTCACCAGTAAAAAAAGAAATTCAATCAATTAAAACAAGTTGAAAAGTTGTATTATTAATTGGAATAGCTATCATCATCTTGTCATATTTTTCCGCCAAATGTCAGGTAAAAAGAAAGTGGTAAACTTTGTAATCTCCATCATCATTTGGATCTAGAAGAAGAAAGAAAGAAAGAGAAAAAGAGAGAGAGAGAGAAAAGGTTATAAATTATCTTTTTTATCAACAAACACGATGCTTAGTAATGGTAATATTATTACTATTATTAAATTGACTGGTCAGTTTGGTGGGTTTGTTACCATAAGATAAAAAACACATCAACAAGTCAAATTTTTCCATAAAAAGTATAAGGCCTACGATAATTTGAGCTATTAAAAGAGATGGTGTTGATGATATTCTTACACAAAAGAGGTAACTCAGCCACGATTACGTATTTGTGAGTTTAAGACTCCCAATCACTTAAAATTCAGTAACTTAACATGTACTTGAGGAGTTTAAGCTCTTTTAACAGTGAATTTAAATTGATCAGCAGAATTAACAATTTGGTCGTGAAAAACGTTTGAAAATGTTCCAACTTTTTACAAGCCACCAGTAAATCAAGTCGAGCTTGACATAGATTGGTCAAAGATAGCGAGTAAGAGAGAGAGAGAGATGATGCTAATGTTGATGCTGTTGATGGAGAAAATAAAAACAAAAAAAGAAGGAGAGGTGATTATTAGTATTAATATTATAAAAGACAAGAAATAAATACAAGTACAAATAAACGAACACAAAAAAAAAGAAAAAGAAAGAGACAGGAAAAGGGAGAAATGATCCCTTTGCTAACAAGATGAAGAGAGAATAGAATGAATTGAAAAGAGAAGAGAATATAAAAAAGAAAAAGAAAACGAAAAACAAATCAACTTACCTTTCGATTAATTTTCCTTAAAAGATACTGTAAACCACCTTAACACGTACACAACGTCAAATAGAATATGAAACAAAACGGTTATTAATTAGTTAAAGAACAAAAATGAATAAGATTAATTGTTTAAACGGTAATTAACAAAAATTAATCATCTAATTGTTAACCTTTACTCATGGAGATCTTCATGTCAACTGTTTTCCCTCTTCGGGTTATCTCATTGGAGGGAAAGGGTTCGGTTTCCATGGTTACAATTTCGAATTTTTTTTCTTCTGTTTATTTGTTTTTCCAATTCATTAATTAATTCAATTAATTTAATTGTCTCTAATTATTGGTTTCTTTCTGATTTATTGTTTGATTTGTTCTTTTTTTCTTGTCTCTATTCTTCTGATGGCTCGTTGGTCGGTTTTAGAATTGTAATTAGTGAAAAAAATGGGAAGAAATTGAAAATTCATCTGATTTTCTTTTCTTTGTTAATATGTTTTCTCGGTTTTCTGATTTGTTTTTTTTGGGATTTTGATGATATATTTTGATATTTTGATTTGTTTTGATAGGTTGGAGGACATGATATCCTTGAGATATCATCATCGGAAAAACGTACCTCACGAATGAGAATTGGACCTGATGAACAATATTATCAACTTACAAGTGGTAACTCTTATTATCGTCATCATCACCACCACCAACATCAACCTAATCCACTTGATCACCAATCAAATGAGCAACCATCTAGAGTGTTGAGAATACGTAATTCAGGTATTACAGGTCAACAAAATGAAGAGATTTTATCACCATCTTCCGGATTATCACCACAATCATCATCATCATCAAGTTTATCTCCATCGCGTGTTAATAATTCCTTGTTGTCATCGTCTTCCCCTTCCATAACACCAAATAATGGTGACACTCGAAGTACTTCTCGAAACATCCCCAAGCTGTTATTACCCAAATTCTCACGACCTGCAATGTACAGTTTAAACGGATTTATACCTAAACCCAATTTACAACGATTATCAACAACATCAACCAGTACAACTGTTAGGCCTACATATAATTACCGGTTAAATCGTAAGGAATCAGCACGAAGCTACAATTTGGACAAAAACAATCAAAGAAAGGTTGGTTTTATATGAAGTGAAGAAAAGGAGAATTAATAAAACACACTCACACTCACACTCACTTCATTAGTGGACAATTAAAAAAAACGAAGAAAGAAAAGAGAGAGAGAGAGAGAGTTAGGGAGTAACAATCAAACTCGAATCAAGCTCAAGTTAGAATGTTCTTATGTGTGTGTATTACCTTTATTAGTTAAGGGTCAGTTTAATAAGATTGATTTATATCGTTAATCGCTTAGTTGAAATTGAAAGAAAGTCATATGATGTTAAAGGAAAGGTAAAAAGACTGATCTTCGAGTGTAAACAAAATGAACTATCGGCGACTCAGGGCGAGGCTCTGGTCAATATAATGACTTATTTAGTATTTTTGTAGATAATGAGTTCAGTAGTTCGCTGAAAGTTTAATTGTTTCTCTTGTTCTTTTTTTCATTTCTTCTAATTATCCATCGCTAGTACTGAGTGTGTGTGTACATATTATTAATATGTGTTGACTTAATTCAATTTCTATTGATAACAATTGCGATTATCATTCAAATTTAGAACTTGTAACTTTATTTATCTCTTTTTGCTTTTTTATTCTGTTCGAGTTCATCATCATCATGTTTACGCACTGATCACCTCACAAGTGATCTAATTTTTTATTAAATCCTATTAGCTATTAGGGATTTAATTGTTACAAGATTTAAATCATGGTGTTGAGATCATTTAGTAATCAAAGTGGATTGACTTTTAAAGAAAAGGGGAAACATGGAAGTGACCACATCTTTTTTATTGTTAAAAAGACAATTAGAAAGCCGAAAATCAAATTGACCTTCAATTTTGCAACAATTAAGCTTTTTTTTCAACATTCAACTGATTATTGATTATTGATTTACTTTAAATAATGAATGAAAAACCATCTAATCTGTAACTTTAACCAATCATCAATTGTGATGACTTAACAAACTAACCAAAACGAAAGCTTAATTGTTACATTTACTTAACTATGTTTACAATTTAACCTCTTAATTGAGAATATGAAAATTAAACTAATTCTTTGTTCATCTTTTTCCTTTTCAGTATGAAGTTAAACATCGTCAAAGTTTAGAGGATTCAGATGATTTAAAAATCAGCGGAAGTTCAAATCGTTTATCGAAACGAAAAGGATACCTGTCAACAAGCTCTAATAAATTGGGAACATCAATTAATCAACTAACCAGTAGCCACTCAAGATCAAAGGTTGGACGTCGAGGTGAACCTGGTAAAGATTTTCCAATAATCAATACAATTCCAAAAACTTCATTTGATTGCAAGGATCATATTGGTGGAAGTGGATTCTATGCCGATCCAGAGACGGATGTCAAGTTTGGCATATGTGTCAAGGTCATCGAAAACACTCATTCCTCTGTCCAAACGGAACCATTTTCAACCAGAAATCCGGTGTTTGCGATTGGTGGTACAATGTCGACTGCGAGGAACCCGTGACACTTTTAACTGTCCCAAGCGAATCGACAATTCGACAGACCAGAAGATCGGGTTCATCCAGTTTATTCGAATCCGTATTGATGGACAGAAAAGAAACTTTACCATTGAGTTAGGAATAAGAAGAAAAAATGAATCCACCAAACAAAGAAAATGAAATTAACGTATATATATTTATCGTAATCACCGAAAATTGATCATCACCAAATCAATGGTGTCAATCAAAGACAATCAAAGACAATCCTGTTGATTAGATTTTTATTAATATTCTATTTTCTTTACCAAATATTTAATTCCATCAATCCCTTTGTAATCATCTCTGAATTGGTAATCAGATTGGAGACTAATCAATGATAACAATCA